CTCGTCCATCCGCCTCTTCCCCCGTCCATCCACCTGTCCCCCCCCCGTCCGTCCGTCCGTCCGTATCCGCATTTTTCAATTTTCCTGTAATTTACATTTTCGGTCGTTTCGTTTCGGTTGTTTCGTTTCGGTCGTTTCGTTTCGGTTGTTTCGTTTCGGTCGTTTCGTTTCGGTCGTTTCGGCCGTTTCGATGGTTTCGGTCGTTTCGTTTCGGTCGTTTCGTTTCGACGTTTCGCCTTTTAGTACATGCCCCCGAAATGTCACGTGACGTACCTTTCCAACATCTGAAATTAATTAGCTCGAAAGCCTTTGAAGTTTGCCGGTGTAGCAGTCTCGATACTCCCCCGGTCTGAGTATTCCTCTATTACTATGCGCATGCGTGCGTCAGCGGTATCGGCTCATATAATTTCTCTGCGGTCTGAGTCATCCTCTCTCACTTCGATCGTTGGCACTTGGAAATCAACAGAGAATACTCGCTTCAAATTCACTTTATCCAAATATTTACTACGCTAAAATGGCCACGGAACAAGAGGTCATTACTGAGGTAAACTTAGAAACCGAGACTGATGTGAAAACGCGAGAAAGACGCTTTCATCAGCAACGTGAGAAATGCGAACGCATATTGTATTATCTGCGCCATGGAAAACACATGGATGGTTTAACCAAGAATCAACAACGTGTTGTTCGAGGCCAAGCGAAGACCTATACCCTAGATGAAAGTGAGTTTATTTTTCTCGTTATTGCAAACAATTGAACTTCATAGTTCATACTATGCTTATTTAATGTAGAGACGTTATGCATAGCCATAGGGCACAGTTATAGTTTGTGATTCCCTTGAGGCTGATGAATTGTATTCTCAAACGTTTAAAACCCTGACTATTAACGATGTCAATAATACTGTACTGAAGAGATCCAGCTGTCCTTGACAGGGATGTAAGATTACACGAGCCACAACTTCCTCTTAGTGAACTCTATATACTAAATATTTGTTATTTATATCTGGAATTACAAGGCTCTTGATGTGTTCATTTATGTAATCATGTGTTGTCAAAAATTATGCATAGTTTATATTTATCTGGAAATATTAACTGTATTGGGTCATACTAATTACAGACAATTACCAACAACAAGCTGAAAAATACCGACAACAAGCAAATACATATTTTTTACTTTTATATGATATCGATGACTCATCAGCATACTATGCAGTTTTTAGATAGTTTGCATAATTAAATTCTATTATGAATAGAATAGGCAGGATATTTTGTTAATCCTATTGTTTATGATTTTATTGATGTCAAACAATGAAAATATAATTACTGTCTGCCTATGTGAATCCATCATCTTTAATCGCAGAATGTTTAAACTCAACAATGTTTGACAAAATCTGTCGTATCTGTCGAATTTATACATGTATATTTTGGATTCCATCAAAAACAACCAGATAACTATAAGAATACAATGAGAGCATGTATTTGCTAGTTGTCAGTACTTTTCAGCTTGTTGTCAGTAATTGTCTGCTAGTTGTCAGTAATTGCTGGTTGTTGACAATAGTTGTCGTTAATTAGTATGACCGACTGTATCAAATTCCTCCCCTCAAATTAATATATTTATGATGTGAATTATTTTAATTTCAATGATTCTTAGATAATGAGTTGTACTACACAGGAGGAAAAGAAGGAATTTATAGAAAAGTTATCCTTGATGTTGCAGAAGTACGAGAAATACTGCATCATCACCACAGTAATCCAATGGGAGGGCACAGTGGAGTGAATGCCACTCTTTGTAAAATATCAAACTTTTATTGCTGGAATGGCATGAAAGAAGATGTACAAGAATATGTAAGTTTACATAGTAGTAAACAACCCTCGAAATTCGCCTCGGCACTCGGCAATTACTGACACAAATGCCGAGGCAAGTTACGATTTTTCGTAGTTTGCCTCGGCAAAAAAATGCCGATGCAATTCCACCCATTGTACCTTAAATTAGAAACTACAGCGTCTGTTTTTTGTTTAAATTTACAAACTACCAAGGACTTCGGCAACAATTATTTGTCGAGGCAAAAATAGTTGAATTTCGAGGGTTGGTAAATTGTAAAAAGTATTATAGAAAATAAATAACCGTTGATAAGAAACCCTTATTGATTGTTGACAAAACACTATTATGATATAGGTAATGTCCTGCCATCGCTGCCAAGTTTACAGCAAAATAAAAACTCAGGCACCTGAGCTAATTCCAATAAAAGTCAAGCAGCCCTTGGAGTTAGTTGGAATTGATTTGATTGGTAAGTTATCAAGTTAACTTTATTATTTGAATAAACTTAGAAGCTGAAGCTCTGAATGAGTAGTCAAACAAGTTTGTTGCTTCAATACTTTTAACCCATTATGCCAGCACTCTCCCCTTGACGAGTAAAATCATCTGGCATTAGACAGAATAAAATACTAAAGTAGGGTGCATCAGGGTGCATCGTCACTCAATGGGTTAACTATGCTGCTCTTAGACAAAATTTACTCTCAAGTGCTGCATAAATTTTCGGCAATGACTGATATCTTTACTGGTATCCTTATTTTTTTCTAGGGCCATTGCCAACTACTCCAGAAGGATGGAAGTATGTTTGCACATTTACTGATTACTACACCAAATTTGTCGATTTTTATCCAATTAAAAATAAATCGGCAGAGTGTGTTGCAAAATGTATCAAAACGTTTACATGCAGGTAATTAGTTTTAACAGCTTTATTGAATGATGTTCAAACAGCAAGAGTGTAAACATGATTAAAGATCCATGCAAGGCACTATCCCTCTTGAATTTTGTTTACATCTAATATCATTATAAATTTACAACAATATTATAAATTGGTAAACATATACCAGCTGATTAATATCAAATTAGGAAGCTATTGTGCCACATTTAATTATCATACATAATTCAGATTTGTATAACCATGTTTATAAAAAATTGAAAGCTTAGTTAGGATAAAACAAAACCTGACACGAGGAGCTGGTATATGTTTACATCCAAATTAATTATTTCTATGGCATGACAAGTATTCAATTTCAAAACTGTTTCCTCTAGCAATATTGAAAGCAATAAATTTTGAAAACTTATAAAAATCCTAGGCTTTTAGACAACATACCCATTGCCAGGAGATACAAAATGTTTAAGTAGGGTCCCACATAGTGTGTTTAAATGCAATGTGAGTTTAAATGGTTAAAAACCAGAAATAAATTGCCCATCACATAATTTTTATAATGATTTTAGATGGGGTGCCCCTTCACGCCTACTATCAGATCAAGGGAGAGAATTTGTGAACAAGATCAATGATGCGGTTTGCAAGGAATTTGACATCAAACGATCTGTGACTAGTGCTTATCACCCGCAGACAAATGGCCTAGACGAACGAACAAATCAGACATTGAAACAGCGTTTGTCCAAACTGGTGAATGAACATCAAAACAATTGGTGTGACTTCTTAGAAGAGGTTACGTATTCCATACGTACGCAAAAACAAGCCACAACCAAATACACACCATTCTATCTGATGTTTGGTCGACATCCAAATTCACCTCAAATGGTAATTATATGGAATATTTTAGTTACAGTGTAAATTAATTAACTGGATTAATTAACTAATTAAATCAATTGTTTATGTTATTAAAGATGGATGTTGTAGATGACTGTTCCTCTGCCCCTGACCAACCTGAAGAAAGTTTAGATGAGCAAGTTTCAGAAAGAAAGGCTTTATATGAAGTGACACAAGAGCAGGTATGTTGTGTTAGGAATTAATGTTTTTGCTAGATGTTAAAGTTAGTTATTGCTTATAAAACTACTTCCACTCTCCTGTCCATTAATTAGTAACATATGTAATTAAATGAAATCCAACACTGACCCCGTTAACTCAAACCCACGCCAACACATCTTTCATTTCCCTTGGGAGTTTGAGTTAGTGGGGTTCTACTGTAGTTGTTAATTTTATTCAAATACCTTTAGGTTCAGAAGAATGTCAAGATTGCTCAAGATAAACAGAAGAAACAGTACCAAAAAAGAAAAGCTAAAGGAGTAAAGACATTTGTTATCAAAGTGGGTGATATTGTGTACAAACGCCAAATGAAAAACATTTCCAGAAAAGGAGGGAAAATGGAGCCAGGATGGATAGGTCCATACAGGTATGTATAACAAACATCTTTCAGCAGATTCAATGGGACTTCAGTGTTAATAATCATTAACCCATTGAGTGGCGATGCACCCTACTTTAGTATTTTACTCTGTCTAACCCCAGACAATTTTACTCGTCAAGGGGAGAGTGCTGGCGCTTAATGGGTTAACTGGCCTATCTGCCCATGTGTCTAGTTAACCCATTGAGTGGCGATGCACCCTACTTTAGTGTTTTACTCTGTCTAACGCCAGACGATTTTACTCGTCAAGGGGAGAGCGCTGGCGCTTAATGGGTTAATGATCAGATCTAGGACATGCAAATCTTTCAGACCGATGGTTGTGCTGATTATAAATGGCTTGGTTAATTGCTTCTTGCAGCTAAGCATTTAGGTTCTTCCTGTAGCTTGATACTGGTAGGACTAATGGGATCATGTTGATGCTCAATTGAAGAATAACATTGAATAATTAATATTTACAGAGTCACAGAAATTGATTCCTCTCAGAGAGCAACCCTTATTCCATTGAAAGATAATGCCACTTCTCTGAAAAACAAAGTGCCCTATGATCAGTTACGACCTTATGTTGTGAGTGAAAGGGAAAGTCTTAGATGTTAAATTTTTAATAAGGGTAAAGTAATTTCAATAATAGGTATACTGTAAATAAATATTAATGAGTTGACAACTGTACTTTAGATGACAAGGAAGAAGATGACAAGGAAGAAGATGACAAAGAAGAAGATGACAAGGAAAAAGATGCCAACAATGTGAATGAAAATGATAACAAACAGAATGAAGATAATATCAACAAAAATGAACACAACAGCACTGGAGTACTTGAGTCCTTAACAAACTCATGTAAGTATAAAGAATAGAGACTCTCTCTTCCCAAGGGAGCAACTATTTTTTTTTGGGGGGGGGGGATAAACATATTAATCTTAAAACTAAACTTAACCTTAAAGGTGGCCAAACAGATGATAACAACCAGTATAATGGAAAGTCTAGAAAGAATCGGTGTGAAGTGCTAACAAGTGAAGCTAACCCTAATCCTGACAAGCTATCATCTACAATCCTCAAAAAAGACTTTTGGCTTTCAGATGAGCATATTGATCATGCTCAATGGTTACTGCAGCAGCAATTTGCAGGGTGTAACGGCTTGCATTCTGTGCTGGCTTTTGAAGGGAAAACCCCCCAAATTCAGAGAGGACAAAAGGAGTTTGTTCAAATAATTAATGTTGGAAGAAAACATTGGGTAACTGTCACAAATATCGGATGTGAAGATAACGTTGTCAAAGTTTATGACTCTAAGTATATGGAGTTACCAGAAAAATACAGAAAGAAATTTTACCTGTGTTTGGCAGCATTGCTAAACACCAGTTATCCGAACATGACAATTGTGTGGCCATCAATGCAGAGTCAGAAAGGCTGTTCTGATTGTGGCCTCTTTGCTGTTGCGGTTGCTTTCAGTCTTCTCATCGGAGAGGATCCTAGTACACAAGCCTATGACCAGAAGACGATGCGAGTGCATCTTGCCATGTGCTTCCAGGTTGGAGAGTTGGCCCAGTTCCCTGTCATGACATCAGTTTTACCCATGCAACATGAAAGGAAGGAAGTTGTCGAACTGTTTTGTCACTGTAGAATGCCATATAGTGGTTCATTCATGATTGAATGTGCAACTTGTGCTGAATGGTTTCACAGATCTTGTGAAAATGTGCCAAGGAAAGTTAATGCCAAAACTATATTTTGTTGTGCCAATTGTAAATAGTTTATGTAAATAGTTTGTGCAGGTTAGTGGTGCACACTGTGAGCGACAGGGTTCTTTTGATAGGGTTTCCAAGAACTGTTAACAGATAAAACTTTGTTGTGTGAACTGTAAATATGTCTTAGTATAATTGTAAATATGATATTATTAGTTCGTATAATTATAAATATATTATCAAGTAATAGTGAGGTTCAGATTTGGGATTTTGTAACAGGAGATACCCCAGACTGGGGAGCACTCAGACCAGTCTCGATACTCCTCAGTCTGAGTAATCTCTTTTAATTAAACAATTATGTGAGGAGATACCCCAGACTGGGGAGCATTTAGACCAGTCTCAATACTCCTCAGTCTGAGTTATCTCTTTTAAATTAAACAATTATATGAGGAGATACCCCAGACTGGGGAGCATTTAGACCAATCTCAATACTCCTCAGTCTGAGTTATCTCTTTTAAACAATTATATCAGGAGATACCCCAGACTGGGGAGCATTTAGACTAGTCTCGATACTCCTCAGTCTGAGTTATCTCTTTTAATTAAACAATTATATCAGGATATACCCCAGACTGGGGACCATTTCGACCAGTCTCGATACTCATCAGGCCGAGTCATCTCTTTTAATTAAACAATTATATCAGGAGATACCCCAGACTGGGGAGCATTCAGACCAGTCTCGATACTCCTCAGTCTGAGTTATCTCTTTTAATTAAACAATTATATGAGGAGATACCCCAGACTGGGGAGCATTTAGACCAGTCTCGATACTCCTCAGTCTGAGTTATCTCTTTTAATTAAACAATTATATGTGATCATATTTATAAAGAAATAATACGATATTTAACAGCCTTACCATATCTAACAATAATGTGCCTTCATGAAAGTGCTTTTAAAGTCTTTTTTTTAAATAAACAAAGATAAAGAGCAAAAATATATTTGCGGATAACTCAGACTGGGGGAGCGTTCAGGCCAGCTAGCTACGTGCTCAGCGGTCCGCTCTTTTCACGCATGCGCAAATAATCAAAACGGATAACTCAGACTGGGGGAGTGCTGAGACCGTGACACCGGCCTTCCAAACCCTGTCCTCTATTAACTATGCTTTAAATCATTTTACACTGACTCTTGAGAAGTAAACATGTCTTATGAATGCGACATCTGCGGCAAAACGTTTGCAAATGCGAGTAATCTCCTTCGCCACAAGAAGGTTGTCCATGCATATGGAACTCGTAATCTTGGGCAGCAAACTCTCACGGTGAATGGGGTTACAGTCATGCAGCATCCCTTTACATGCATCGTTGCAGGATGTACCCAAAGCGGCAAAACCGTATGGGTAAAATCTCTCTTGGAGAATGCTCAAACGACTATAAGTCCTATTCATCAACGTATCATTTGGTGTTATGGTCAATGGCAACCGTCCTATTTTGATATGATGAGGATAATGCCTGGAATCGAGTTTAATGAAGGCATCCCCGAAGACATCGACAATGCGGATTACTTGGACGTATCGCAACGGAATTTGATCGTATTGGACAACCTTATGGCTCAATCTGGCAAAGATAAACGTATTTCTGATCTTTTTACGAAAGGAAGTTATCATCGAAATTTGTCTGTCATCTATATTGTCCAAAATATATTTCATCAGGGCAAAGAAATGAGAAATATTAGTCTAAACGCGCATTATATCGTATTGTTCAAGTCACCAAGAGATAAACAACAAATTTCTATACTTGCAAGGCAAATAAATCCCCGCAAAGTACAAGAGTTTATGAGGAGTTATGAAGATGCTACGAGCCGGCCTCACGGATATTTGATGTTGGATTTAAAGCCGACAACAAGTGACCAAGATCGACTCAAGACAAACGTACTTCCCGGCGAGATTGCAAAGTTTTTACACAAACAGTCGTATCGTCAACCACCACTTGCAAACGCAATGTATGATGCCGAAAAGAGAATGAAAGAAATCATGGATGCACCACAGCTTAGCGCAGTGGAAAAAAGCAAATATACTCTGATCAACTAAATCGGTTTTTGACATTCAAAAATAAGATGGATGTTCCGACTCAAGCTCCTGTTCAGACAACTCCACTAGTGCCTGCAGAAATACCACAACCCAATGAATTTGTTGAGATAGCACCACCAGTGCCTGCTACCCCTAAACCTAACTTCCTTACACCACCACCAACAGAAGAGGAACGGCCAAAACTCAAGCACAACTTTTTCCACAATTGGGTAGACTCTACAGATTGGAGGCCCCAAGATTTGACAATGATGACCCCTGAACAAAGAGAAGGTTACGAACAAAGATTACTTCGCGAGAGGCCGAAATATATTCCAATGAAGGATGAAGACGTTGCAAAGTTATCCCCAGAAGATAGACAAGAATATGAGAACTCTTTAAAAATAACAAAAACACCTAGACGTTACGCTCTTAGAAGTAGACCGTACTAAATTTTGTAAACCGTTTTGAAGAAATAAATTTAAAAACTAAAATATTGTGTAATTTTTGCCGGCAAAGCCCGCTCTTTCCGCCCGCGCGATCCGCCCGCCTGATTAGTATACAAATATGTTGTACGTTAATATATGCATGCACCCGCAAAGCCACGCGCCTGATTTTAAGGTATACACCTGCGTTAAAAATAATCCCTATCTATCCATCGAAATACACTTAGTTATGCAAATTCGTATTGCCTTAATCCCCCTAATTACCTACACACCTCCTAATGACTTAGCAACGCATAACAACGCAGCAAAGTATAAAACATGTTTATTGATACAAATAATAGAGAAAATATATTACAACTAAGACTGTTAAATTGTTCTACAGGATTTTTTCCTTCAAGTATTCTATCTGACTCGGTCATCTTGACCGTATATATGTATGTAGGTTTGCTAAATAATGTTGAACAACATGCAAATAGCAATCATAACAACGGCTTTGACAACCCGGGATTAGCAACTGTTTATTTTTGTTGCGATATTTTTTATTTCTGTTTGGAAACTTATTGCTCAAAACGAGCCATCAAAATTAAAACGAATTTCAATTGCGTGTTGAAAATAAGAGAGAGACTCACAACGTTGCTACATGGTTGTAAGGCAAAAAATATTCTACCGTACCGGGTTCGAACCGGTGACCTAAGGAATACTGATTTGGTAATAACTACAGTCCTTTGCTCTACCAACTGAGCTAACGGTAGGTTTTAAAAAACTAACTTCTATTTCATACTTTTATACATGCAAACTATGAGAAACCTCTTGTCGTTTTATTACAAATTTGTCAGAAACTAGTTGTGATGCTAATCGATCGCCTGTCACAGTTGGCCCAGACCTGTCCGTGTTAATTGGTCGCGCTACCTGTCACAGTTGGCCCAGGCCTGCCCGCGTTAATTGGTCGCGCTACCTGGCCCAGGGTTAGGGTTAGGGCCAGCAACGTTACGTCACATATTTTGCATACTAATTACTTTCGGAGATTTTGCATACTAATTACTTCCGTTGCCCAAGTGGGGGGCTTTACTACTGAGTATATTGCCATAACTTTTGGAGCAAAAACTTTTTATAATAATATATAAGAACATTTCAAACGATTAACGAAAATATTTGATGTGATATCAACGATAAACGTGGATAGCAGCAAGATTTTATAGTACATGATAGGTCTAGTCATTGTTTTAAATCGGATTCGCCGTTTTACGAAATAATAACCGTTGTAATTAATGGCCTGTTTACCGTTCTTCGATCAAACCACGATAAAGATTATACTTCGTTAACCGTCATATAATATTGAACGTGATATTTACATAATTGAATTAAATTCCAATGCTTGTGTCTCGAACTCTATGCCCTAGTAACAAACAAGGGCAGATTTCGTGTTCGACCAATCAGCGCATTTGTTTACATTTTCGCTCTCAGCTAATCATAATGCAGGAAACGAGAAATTAACAACAAGGCGAGCTAGAAAATATTGCCGTCTTCTCTGGCTTCCGTGAGATTCAATTTTAACTTTTTTAATTTAAAACCAGAAGATTATGATGGCGCACATTAAAATTTAAAACTTTCCCATGGGCATTTTTAAATTTCGACCTAGAACTGAAAATATCCATGTTTGAAATATTTCCCCATGTCGCGTATACAAATCGAATACAAATTTGAGTAATCTAATTTGACTGCAATAAAACTAAAAATTGCTATATTTTCTCTGCTTTACGTTTTCGTTGGAAAACTCTTCTTTGCTCTTGTTGAGAATAATTTTGGTCAATGTATTATTTCATAACCTAGAAGATAACGCGTTTAGAGAGTCTGATTTTCTTGAAAATCGGTCGGACAATATTCTTGTATTGATTTCCTGTATGATCGCGAGCGTGCGATAATTTATATATATTTTTTTAAATCAAGCTCTATGAACGCGTTATCGTCTAGGTTTTGATATAAAACATTGACCAAAACAATTTGCAACAAGAGCGAAAAAGAGTTTTCCAACAAAAACTTAAAAGCAGAAAAAATATAGCAATTTTTAGTTTTATTGCAGTCAAATTAGATTACTCAAATTTATATACGATTTGTATACGCGACATAGGGAAAAATTTCAAACATGGATATTTTCAGTTCTAGGTCGAAATTTAAAAATGCCCAAGGCAAAGTTTTAAATTTTAATGTTCTGCATCATAATCTTTTGGTTTTAAATTTAAAAAGTTAAAATTGAATCTCACGGAAGCCCGAGAAGACGGCAATATTTTCTAGCTCGCCTTGTTGTTAATTTCTCGTTTCCTGCATTATATGATTAGCTGAGAGCGAAAATGTAAACAAATGCGCTGATTGGTCGAGCACGAAATCTTCCCTTGTTCTAGTAACATGATATTGCTCGCTTCTAGCAGTAGAAACTGAACGATATATTTTAGATGAAACAACATAAAAAGTTCATGCGTTTCATGCGTATATTTTAGGATGTGAGAAGTTCAAAAACAAGAAGTAACGTGCATATCCATCTTTCAGGCTACTGGAGTGCAAAAAAATT